GTGAAGGCGAGCATGATTGAGCCTAAAGCGCACTTCGATTGCTATCATAAAATAGATGACCAACGAAATGTAAGGCTAAAATAGAAAGCATTTATTTAGTCGCCGACAAAAAAAAAAAAAAAAATCACTGCTTTTCTATCTGCCAGGCCGCAGTAAGCCACTAGATTAAAATAGGGAGGGAATAAGGTAGCTTCTAAGAAGAGTAACAAAAGGCTCAGCAGACACTTTAATAACGAGTTTCGGCTGTTTACTCCGTTGTTCGCTTCCGGGATCAGACTTCTAATCTTTTTTTCAATGGCGAGAGTTCATTAAATTTACCCCTTAATTTTTTTTTAATACAACAAAACAAACATTTTTTGAGAAGACCAGCGACGGCAAGTGGAGACACCTTGAAGGAATAAATAAAATACACGACGCAAGTCTTTTCTTTTCGGTAGCATTAGACCGCTTGTTTCGAAGAAAACCCGGCGGTGTCTTCCGTTTGTCAGCTACAAAGAGAGAGGGAGAAAGAAGGGTAGAGGGTGACGCTTATGATGCTCCCATTGGTCCGAAGTGCTGCCGCCAGCACACGCCAACCTCTTCCTCTCCTTCTTTCTCCCTCCCAGTAACTGACAAACTGACAGACACTGCTGGGTTTTTGTCAAAACAAGCCCTTTGGTTTTAGTCAAAGTCACGCGCACAGCTGGCGCGGAGCCAGTACGAGGCGGCGCCGCGCAACCCACCCTCCTTAGTGCTGAATGAGTTCGCGTCATCAGAGAAGGCCAACGCTGAACAGAAAACGGAAACAAATGCCGCGTCAGCGCTCGGCTTCCGAGTCAAGTTTGAACTTTTCAGCCGAACGTTGACGTAGTCGTCGTGTCCAATATGGGCCCAGCGTCAGCCTTCTCTGATGCCGCCATCTCATTCAGCACTACGGTTTTGTTATCTAGAAGGTGTTGCGCCGCGGCATGGCGGAATGCGGGGCGCAGTGGCGCAGTCAGCGGCACCCGGGCGGTAGCCCGCCACAACCCCCCCCCCCCCCCTCCCCCCCCTCCTAGCTTTCATTGCCCGCCGCGACAACCCCCCCCCCCCTCCCCCCGCCCTTGTGACACAAGTGTGCGCGCGTGCACATTTGCCTCTGCTGCCGTCGCCGGTTGTTCTTCGCTCTGGGTTTCCGTAGTAACGGTGCGTGGGCTGTGATATCTGTGTGTAGTTAAAACGATAGATGTGGTTCCCTTCACGAGTGATATGGATGCGGTTTCTTCCGCGAAAGCTATGGATGTTTTCTTGTTTTTTTTTTTCACGAGTGATTTGGATGACCGTGTCCAAGGGCGTCGACGTACTTCGACAGGCAGGAGCACACAAGGGATGAAAAAAATTATAGAAGATATATTGATGGATTGTTAGGGAATCCGTTAGTATTACCTTTGGGAGACGCTAATACTGGCCCCGTAGCCAGGCAAAAAGGCAGCAAAAAATAGAGGAAGCAAGAAAAAGAAGCCAAATGAAAAAAGTTAAAGGGTCAGCGTTAGCATTTCCAAAAGGGGGACGTGGATGACGTTTCAATGGGTCATGCTTACTTATTCCTCTAAAACCCACCAAGGGATCTTCCTGTAATTTTTGAATTAAATATTACACTTCTCATTTGTTGTCTGTCATGTATTTTATTATCATATTGTGATCATCTTATCGCGTGCCCGTGATCGTTTCTAGATATAATACACTGTGTCAAACGAATGTTGCGAGAAAATGAAATATAAAAATTTTAAACACCATGTAGACTCAATAAAATTGACTATATTTAAAGCAAAGTTAACTGCCTAAAACATTTTATAAGTGCCTTGATTGAACGCGTGTGTCACGTCATAAACTTTACACAGAAACAAAACTCGCAAAACTGATTTTGAGTTAGGAGCGGTTCTGAAACATGATTCTACTTCACGACTTCGGCTTTGAAGTAGAGGCCTATTTCGAAATCACTGAAATCAGTCTTTCAACTTAAATATTGCGCTAACATTTTTTTAGGGAAAGTTAATCTTGTAGCATACCTGTCTATTTTAGAGTTAAACGTCCTTTTTGAGAACGGTGATGTTTCGTTCTCGTCAAATTTGAATAAAATAATAATTTAAACGAGTACGCGGGATATTAGAGTTGTTTATTCCTTCACCCAATGATGTTATTTTATTGTTTTCATTTTCTAGGTATTATAAATGCAACAACAAAAAACTTGAACTGCACCGTTGTCCCTCAAGGAAGGTCTGGAACGTTGGCGACAAAAAGTGCACCTCACGTAGACGCGCAGATCGCCCCGAATGCAAGTGAACCAAGTGAAAGAAGGAACTGCATTATATTAGAGCAGAGTCGAGTTATCAATAAATCACGCCTTCAATATTAACGGATTCAAATAAATCTTCTGCACTGCAGGCAACAATTGCCTAAAATATATATAAGGGTTGCGACACTAATGTTCACACAACACACAATTCAAACTTTTCTCAAGGCTAAACTTAGTTCTTGCGTCAATCGTTTTGTGTATCATTTTTGTTCAGTCTCATTTATGATGCGTTTTTGGCATACTTGCGATGCATGAAGATGATTAACATTGAAGACACTTCTGACTGGTGGCATATAAACAAAACGGTAAATACCACACTGTTTATAATGAAAAAAAGTGAAAGTCGTTTACCACTCCCTGTAACGCCGAATTGGAGCGCAGCTCTTGAGGAGGAGGAGGGGAGGGTACTGAGGGCCACGTGTTCTCGGGGGGGGGGTCACGTGACCCCCCCCCGAGGGCACGTGACCTTGGTGGGGTCACGTGGGGGCAAACACGTGCCCCCTCAGAGATGACCTCGGGGTGTCACGTGACTCCCCAGGTCACGTGACCCCCCGGGTCACGTGACCAAAATTTTTCCGCTAGATTTAGCGGGGAATTTTTTCCACTAGATTTAGCGGTGAAAGTTTTCCGCTAGATTTAGCGGGCAAATTTTTTCCGCTAGATTTAGCGGGGAAATTTTTTCCGCTAGATTTAGCGGGGAAAGTTTTCTGTTAGATTTAGCGGGAAAATTTTTTCCGCTAGATTTAGCGGGGAACTTTTTTCCGCTAGATTTGGCGGGAAAAGTTTTCTGTTAGATTTAGCGGGGAAATTTTTTCCGCTAGATTTAGCGGGGAAATTTTTTCCGCTAGATTTGGCGGGGAAATTTTTTCCGCTAGATTTAGTGGGGAAATATTTTCCGCTAGATTTAGCGGGGAAATTTTTTCCGCTAGATTTAGCGGGGAAATTTTTTCCGCTAGATTTAGCGGGGAAAGTTTTTCCGCTAGATTTAGCGGGGAAATTTTTCCGCTAGATATAGCCGGGAAATTTTTTCCGCTAGATTTAGCGGGGAAATTTTTCCGTTAGATTTAGCGGGGAAATTTTTTCCGCTAGATTTAGCGGGGAAATTTTTTCCGCTAGATTTAGCGGGGAAATTTTTCACTAGATTTAGCGGAGAAATTTACCCATAATGCACCGCGCGGTTACGCCGACGGCGACGCCGACGGCGACGCCAACGGCGACGGCGACGGCGACGCCGCTCAAGCCGGAAACGGGCGCCTAAGAGCTGCGCTCTAAAATATCCGATACCATTTTGTTAAAACAGCCGCTGATTTTATCTACCTAACAACCTCCAATTGAGGCGTCCAAATTAAGGCACTCCGGCTCCACCAAATTTCATAGCCTAGCCTAGCTTAGCATCATGTATCTTGTTGTTGGGATGACAAAAAACGGGCAATCTCCCCGCTTCTAGTTTTTGTATGTATATGAACACAACCACCGGTCGCTTGTGTTCACGCCAATAATGAACCGCACGTTTTCGTTTTGGTAGGGATTACTTCTTGAAGCTAGCTGCTCTAAGAATAGACATCTTGTTGTGATACTAAGGGCCGGTTGCACCAACGCCGCTTAGCGCAAAGCGGAGCTTAGCCGGGAACCTAAGCTTAGTTTCGGTTTCGTTCGGTTGCACAAGGTTGCACCAAAATCGCTTATCGCTAAACCTAGCACTAAACTACGCTTAACTTGAGCGCTCAACATTGGGCGCTTTGCTTTTGGTTGTTTCCAACGTTACTAAAACACTCAGTTGGGAAACTCCCATAGCTTCGAAAAAATGGCCCCAATGTGTCTCCGAGCACCGAGCTAATGACGAACACAACGCCACCATTTCTCCCGCAGCGGCCACTCGAGGAACTCCACGTTACTGCTATTTCGGCTTTCAGAACAGATACAGCGGGAGAGGTTACATGGGTGCCACCCCCGTTTCTCCGGCGGACGCGCCGCGTCGAACTACCCAAGTTAAAATGCACCTAGGTCAGGACGCGCTACCTGAAAGGACCGCTGAGGCATGGTTGTATAAAAACAATATAATTGTGCCACAAAACCCTGCAAACTAAAGACTTTAAAAACATAACGCGCCTCTCTTTTTGCAATAAACTCCAATAAATTTCATACAAAAAGAGCCTTTTCCGTTTGTTTTTACGCAAAAACAGGCTTTCAAAAAGCTCAAGGTGACCACAGTACAGACAAACGATAAAGAGTGGCGCTGTTGTCGCGTTTAGCTCGGTCTCAGTGGACGCCAGCGGCCCAGGTTTCGACGGCGAGTTTCCCAACTGAGTCTTTTAGTAACGTTGGTTGTTTCTTAATCCTGGATTAAAAACATGGCGGCTGGTTTGTCGCGGTCGACGCGGTGGACAAAATTGTAGTAAAGTGGTTAGCTGGGCGAGTTGGTAATGATTGAACATGGTTAAAATTGCGCACAAATAGAAATAGAAAATAGAATAGAAACTCTTCTCTGGAAGAAATTGGTTGTGCAAAGTGTTTTAGGCTACATCAGCGTGAAAGTCTCGACAGAATGACCTTCGATTGTGACAAGGGTGCAAAATATTGTCGCGTGAAGTGTTTATCGACCCCTGTTTTCAAGTTGGCTCTCCACTCTCAGGGCGTGTTAGCCCTAACCGAGATACGTACGGAGCTGTCGGGCTCAGGTCTGTCTTCCCGGTGGTTCTTCTGTCAACGAGCTTATTCGTATGGATTTACTAATTTTCGCATAACTGTAACGTATTGTTTATTACCACCTTGTTTATTTACACTTGCAGCGCGTATCCTTCAATCCGATCAGCGCGTTGAATAGTGGCAGCACATGATCTCGCCGATCAGCTGATTGTCGACACCTCTGCCGTTTGCATTAGATTGCGGCGCTTTTAAGTAATAAAACAGCGAAACTTCAATTTCTTTCGTTTTCTGAGTTTTGAAACAATCTTCAGTGAATTTTCCTAATCTCGCGAGTAGAATCTTGGCTTCAGAAAACTGTATCGTTCCATAACAGTAACTTTTTTGGTGATCGCAATTTTTTAGGAATATTTTGATTTATATCTTTCATTCGTGGCGACGACAAATCGTAACGACTGCTATGTTAGATTCGTTCATTGCTGTATCGGGGCAGGCAGGGGCAGGTGATGCGAAGAGACGACCGTTCTTATCGGCACGATGTGATGTACTAGTGGGAGTTTTTTTTTTTTTTTTTCTTAACTCGACAGTGTGAAACTGAAGTCCATCTGAAGCTGCAGCGGATGTTCAACGACGGTACAATGCAGTTCTGTCACCTTGCTGATAGCAACGAGTACCGTCGATGCAAGGCCTCGTGACCTGACCTCTCGACGACTTCTATTCGACGATTTCCGGGCATTTTCGCAGCTGCCGTGGCGAGTTCGTCACTGTTTTAAACTGCATCGGTCTCAGGCATGACTTGATTTTAGTAGTCATCTTACCTGCCTACTTATTCTCGATGATGTTTTGTCTTCAGCGATGTAGCGAGTAGAGTGTCCTTCTCGCGTTCGGTGAGATTTGGGGCCCCCGATGGCTCCTTCACCTCAAAATGTGAGCACGAAAACTACTGCCACTGTCAAAATATCCTGTTATCAACCGATATTAAACACACAATCACAGATGTAAAGAGCATTCTTGTTCATTTAAAGCTTTGACTTCTGTTATTGAAAGTTAAGCGAAAAAATGATTGGATTTGGAGACCTTTAATTTGTTACTCATCGAAGAAATACAGCGAAAAGCAGACGCCGACGACGACTACTACTGCAGTTTTTTTGTTTACATCAGGTGATTCCTCTCCGCCAATCGTATTCGTCCCTCTGAGCGTTCCCTAGTTCGCTCTGTTTGTCCCTACATTTCCTACGCAAATCCAGCGTTTAGCTAGGGGCGCGTCTGTAAAGCCGGGTTTACGTTGGTGCAACCGGAATTTAAACCCGTGCTTATCCGAGCTCGGTTTAGCACGCTAAGCCGACTTAAGAAAGAGCCGCTTTGGGTTAAGGTAAGCGACGTTGGTGCAACCGTCCTGTTCTACGTGTGCCTTCTTTTTGTCCGTGTCAAACTTGCGCTATTTTAATCAGGCCCTAAGAGGTTTTGAATAAGGTGCTTCTTGATCTGTAATAATATTCTCAATCATTATTGCTGCCTGAAGGACCAAGAAAGTCAAAATAAAAAATAAAAAAATGCGACAAGGATACATACAAAAAGTAGGCCAATATACGAGTTTGCACTACAACCCCCCCCCCCCCCCCCCCCCCTTCATGAGAATATATTACAATGGTGCTATATCACAAAAAAAAAAAAAAGTAACACGATGAATTACAGTGTCGAGGAAACAAAAGCGCTTCCATACCGCTTGGCGAAAGTCAATAATATATTTTAATGAAATCGTTCAGTAAAACCTTCTTCTTGTTTTATACGGCTGCGAACGTTTCTTTTATTCCAATTTTAACAACCAGTCCAGTTAGGGCGACTTGAAGTTGCATCGCCACAATGTAGTTTCGTAGAGGTGATCTTACGTCACAGATATCAGATGATGATTATAATGCAATTAAATGCAAAGGTGCAAGCGAGCTGGACAGCAATGACGAAAATAATCCCTGGAGAAGGGGAACAAGAGGGACAAAGGACAAACACAAATCTCCAAACACAGCTAGGTGACTGGTGCGCGACCGAAAAAATCCGCCTGGTCCGGGTATCGAACCCGGGACCTCTCCATTACAGGTGGATTATTTTCGTCATCAGATGATGTCATTTTTAGATTCCGAAAGTTGGGCTGCTATACTCCGTTCACGCTGGGACTGGAAGCTCCGCCGTGAACGCGAGCTTTCTGCCCTTGCTAACTCAAGTGGGTGATTCCACGTCAGTTCATGCAATGATGGTCCGGGTCATAATTTAGATATTTTTGTTAAAAATATATATGAAAGCCATGTTTTTGGGAGGAACATTCAGCTAGATATGAACGCCGTAACAATTTTTTTTTGTCTGAGATATAAAATAGAGAAGCTTGAGGCGTGGAAATTGAGAAGATTTCACAATGCTACTTTGCACAGTCGTCATTTCCTTATCGAACCTTTCACGGCACCATAATTTTTTAATAGGTTTTACAAAGGTTATACACACATACACAAAAAATTAAAAATATCAATAAAATATTCCTATGCAAACAAAAATATCAAACATGGCATAAAAACGCGTTTTAGAGACATATTCACAATTTTTTTTGCAAATAAACCATTTTTCATGATACTTTACAAAACATATCAAAATACGTGTATTTAAATATTCTTTACGGATATGTAAAAATTATATGCCCACCCTTAATTGTCTTCTTGTTATTAACGCGGAAATGCGGCTGATTTCTCAAAATGTGGCAAGATTGGGCGTCGATATTTAAAAAAACTCCATCTTTTATTTTTTTTAACTCCCCGTGGCACTTAACAGTGACTTGAACTAACCTGTGATGGCAAAAGATTGAGTAACATATGACCTCCAAGCGGGAAAAGCTACGACAAACCTTCACTCGGAGCGAGCCGACGTCTTCGTCAAGGCGGCTTTGTCGCACAGCACCAAACGTTTTGAGCGTTAGTTATGGCATGTATTTTATATTATTAAAATTCTTTTTTTTATAAGGGTTGAGTATTAGTGACGCGAAAATGGACTTTGAGCTGGAATACCATTAATTAGCTTACAATTCACAGGAACGAAACGGCCCCACTGTGCGAATTCGCTAACTATGCATAGATAAGCTAAAAACTCTCAGTTATGCGAGTTGCCATGCATACATCCGGCCTCTCGGCATATGATGACTTCCACAGATGAGAAGCCTGGATTCCTCTCACAGGTTTTATGGTGGTCGACTCTGCTTGCTTTAATGCACGAAACTCTCGAACCCGTTCCACAGACAGGTGGAACATGAAGACATTTGTTGCTTTTTTACGTAGCACTTCCACAAAGTCTTTAGCGGTGGCAATCGTTGAGTTGAGCGAAGATCTCAACTTGGTGAGCGTTGCTTCTTCCACCTACTTCATCAAAAGCGCTTTCTCCGTGTCCAGTGGCTGAAAAGATCCATCTTGCCGAAGAGTGCGGCTTCCGAGACAATTCGTGGAATTGGAAGCGATTCTTGAAATGCGCCGCCGCTCCGTCTGATACAAAAGTTATTTCAGAAAAGACTGGGAAATGAACATTAACATACTCTTTTATGGCCTATGCGGCTAGAAGAGCGTGAGCTGTGTCATGTGTCGTGTACCATCGGTGACAACGGCAAAGCTTTGCCTGCCTTGCGTGGACGTAACCACACTTGTGGAGAGAGACACTTGAGCTTTTTTTTCAATGAAAACTCTGCACTTCGGTTGGAAAGAGTACTGTCCATTTTCCCGCTAAATCGAAGTGGAACATCACTGCCTTGGGTGGTAAGGCGGTTCTTGTGTCATGTATCAGGCTTCGTTCAAGGTCAAGGATATAAGAATGCCTCATATACTTTTCGCTCTCCTATTGTCCCAGGAAGACAGAAGTGTCCATAACCTTTCTGACGAGTTCGCCAGCGTCCCATAACGCGAAACAGATCTCTTCATCTTCGTCAAGATGAAGCGACTGCAGCGAGATGCTCTGCGTTTTTGGGCACTTTTCGCAACGGCGCAGAAAGCAATCGTTCTGTGGAGCGCAGCAGAGGTAGATGCGCTTGAGGTCGTCTTCAGTAAATGTCTTCTTTGGGGCATTTGTTATTGCCGTTAAAAGCAACTGAAAATTGACGCAATATATGCATGCGCACACCTCGTGCTCGGGACTTTTTTTTTTACCCATTTTGGTCGTAGGGAATAAAATTTGGAGATGCCTAGTTCGGGATGGGGATGGTCCTTCCTAAACAGCTGGTAAGCTTCCTTAAAGGGGCACTGACACCCCAAAGGTCGTATTTATTTTTATTGTCTAAAACGATGCAAGTTGCAGTCATAGACAAGCAAAAAAAAAAAACCGCATCGCGAAAAAAAAATTTTCCCGCGCGCGCGCGCGCCTTTTTATTTTTGCCGTTTGATTTTCCCGCCTCTCGCCTCCTCGCTTCTTTTGATCGGTGACGTCAAAAATCAGGAAATTTAGAAGCTTTGTAGGCGACATCTCTATAACATTTAATAACGGCAATCGTAAAACATGTTTTTTAACGCAATTGCGAACGCACTACGGCCCTTCTTTTTGAAATACCAAAAATCGGGAGTTCGTTGTGGTGCCGTCTCCTGGATTTGTATCCTCCAACGGAAAACAGGCGACACCGCTCAAAACCGGTCCGCCGTAACGCCGCCGCTCACTCCTTTCCTCCTCGCTTTGGGTCGCCATGGCAACAGCAGGGAGTGGTGAAAGAAAGTCGACTCTCAGGTCTCCGCGATTTTTGACGTCAAGGCACCGGCGCCGATCGCGCGGGAACTTCGAATTCGGCATTTGGAAATTGTTTTTTTACTTCACAAATACTGAATTCCCAAATTTCAAATTTTGAGGGTAATGTCCCGGCATCGTTTTCAATCGTTTCGGATAATAAAAAAAATATGATTTTGATGTGTCAGTGCCCCTTTAATAGAGCGGGTCATAAACCGTTTTACGACTTTGAACATGTCGTTGATCATGGCTTTGACGACGTCCTTTTTGTTGGGGCTTTGAACAGAGCATGCGAGGTCGTCGCGTGTGTAGTACTCAATTGCAACCCTCACGTCTTCGGC